TGGAAGGAAAGAAGAAGAGAAATGGGGAAGACAAGTTCAGGAGGTGCTAAGTTTGAAATGGCCATATCTGACAGGTAGTGGGACAGAAAGATCTGGAGCCTAGCACACACCTGGCTTGATTATAGCTGTGGGCATCACTCGCATTCACCTGTGGGTCAGTGACACACATCCCTGGCTGTGCATCTGAATCACTTTGGAAGCGCTTAAAAAAAAACACAAAAAACGCCATTTGTTTCTTTATTAAATATATCCACAATTTTTCCGTATGCATGCTGGGAGTGGGAGTGGAGGACAGGACATTGTTGATGTGGAGTGCAGGTAAAATTCACTGAGGTTGGGGAAATAATAGCTTTGAGTTTTTGTTTCACGAGCATTTCAAAACATGATACAAACTGTAGAGGACGTAGGTGTATCTTTACTAGGTGGTAACCAAATAATTTTAATATGATTTGTACTCCTTCCCTCACCCCAAGTTTCCAACCCCATACCACTTAAGCAAACTTCAAATTTGCATTTCAAAGTCTAAGAACTGATCAGCAGCTTAACCACCCATTAGCACTTATTCAAAACCCCTTGACACACACCCAAATTCTCTTTTCAGTTATTTATAAAACTTGCTATTGTCTATTAACTTCTGATGAGCTGTCTTCTCAGCTGCAGAAAAAAAAACCTTTGTCAAAACTTTTCCCCTTGATTTGAATTCATAAACTGGCTAATTTTGTGACCTTTATATTTGTATTTCTACCATTCCAAAATAAGAAATAATAATAAATGAAGCAGAGGACATGGTCTTCTTTACAAACTGTTCTCCACATTCTAAACAAAGATTTCACTAAATTTTGTAATTAGTCTACAAAAGTGGTTAATACTTTGAACTTCTACCCGTCATGGAGAAGAGGTACAATAAATCATCCCAGGGCTAAAACACATAAAAGTTAAAATGTCATGAATGGGGCGCCTACTAGTTTATTGAAGATTAATCATTTGTGATTTGGAAGGTTAGCTCACCTAAACCTAGAATTTGTAGCTTTTACCCTGAATTCTGGTTATCTTGGTCTGTTTACTAAGAGGCATAAAGGAGACATTTAGAATAAACAAACACATTTTTGTTCCACTACCAGATATAAAGTATTATTTCTAGGATTCCATAATGTCTATACCTAATTTAGCCATTCTCAATCCTGCTTTTTAGACTGAACTGTATAGCAATGACAGAATTAAAAGCCCCCAAGACATTATTTAGTCCAATCTAAGGCAGCTGAAGCTCGAAAGTATCAAGTCAACTAGGCTGAAAAGTGGGAGCCCAGTCTGGGTCAACTGGACTGATGCTTTTGGTTATACTGGCAGGAGCAATTATAAGGCTTCAAGAATCTTAGCTCTAGTTCCAGTCTCCTTTCAGATTGGGAGATACTGGAGAACAATCCCATCTTCCTTCCACATCTACACCATCTTTGTCTTCAAAGACCTAGTCTTTATGGAGAGAACAATCTATCAGACTTGGATTTCCTCAACTTCTCACTCCTTCGCTAACAGACCTCTCTTGACCCTTGCTCGCCTACCTCTCCACTTCCTCTCATGAATGTTTAGGTTTGTGTAATGGCTCCAAAAATCCTTCTCCCCCTTTCCAAGGTCAATCTCCCCTCTGAGTCCTTAACATATCCCTCCTACTCCTTTCAGGGTCTTAGTCTAGTATTTTTCTGCTCCCTTGTGTCTTTAACATTTCCCTTTGTGCTCTTTTAGACCTACTCCTATCCCTAAATCCGACTTAAGTAAACAATCCTACCACCCTGTCTTCTCTGAGAAACCTCCCCTTCCTTTTCTTCATCTCCAGATTAACTGAGAAAAAAACAGCACTTTCTTACTTGCTAGTCTTTCACTGACCCAATACAAATCTTACCTGGGACCCCTCTTTAGCTCCTACAGAAAATGCTCTTGCAAGGATCAGTGGTGATTCAACAACCAAAATCAAAAGGTTCTCTTCAATTCACCTCCTTAACCACCAAGTCTGACGGGATCGGCCACCTCCTCCCCTTTTAGGGGGTGCTTCTCTTACCATACTATTTACATCACTCACCTTTTTGAGCTTCTCCTCTGCTCAATCTTCAAACGTTGGACTTCACTGCTTTCTCCTTTCCTCCTGGTCAAATCTTCAAATAGTATATAATACACATGCATGTCTGTCTCCTTGTATTTCATTTCCATTCCAGACTTTTCTCCTGAGTTCAAGTGCTCTATAAGAAGTGTCTACTTGTTAGGTTCCAACCAGGCTCAGTGTATTCAAACTTGAAGTCATCTGTTTTGCCCCCACCACTCCATTTCTCCTCCTGTCCTTCCTTTCTCAGTTAATGGCATCAATAGAAACTCAGGGCAAAAAAAAAAAAAAGAAAGTGGGGGCAGGACAGACACACATGACTCTTCCTCTCTAAATCATCTTCTCACCACTGACTTTGGTCTTCCCTCAGATCTTCATATCCACCCTGGCCCACCTGGCCCAGCCCTGGGGTTATCCCTTGGGCAGGCCCTTACCTAGAGAATCAGCTGATCTTCTTGCCTCTGGTACTCTTCTTTCTCCTCACTCTTTCAGGACCATCCCCAACTTCAGTCTTCAGTCACTTCCCTGCATGTAACTCCTCAAAGGCATCCCACTAACTGTATAAAGTTTAACTCCCAGAAGAGCATATAAATCTCAACTTGGTTCAACACTAAACTCTACTTTCAATTTCCTCTCTACCCATCCTGTTTTCCAGCCACAATGACCTTCCAGTTCTTCCTAGAATATATTTTTCACATGTCAAGTTTCTGCCACTCCTTTACAGGCACACTTGTGATTCCCTTTTGTGCTTGTTGAACACATACTCAATACATCATCTCTTCTGTAAAAAATACCCTGATGCCATCTAGCAGAAGAGAAGTTCTGAATGCTCTGGCCCCATCATACTTCATACACACTTCTCTGATCAATATTTTGTGGTGACGGTCGCCCTGCGAGGGAACTCAGGAGGTCAGGAATAGTATTCGTTCCCATGCACTTGGCACACTGTCAGGCCCTGGAGTACTGGAGGAACTTAGTGATGGAAAACTTCTGTGTAGCCAGGTGAGGCCTCATCTCTAAACTCCCACGCCACGCACATGACATAAAATGATATGCTGACAGAAGAAGTTTTGTGAGAGCTTTAATGGCACAAAATGTTTATAGCTACAAGTTATACATGTCTTGTAAACTGTATATAATGATACAAAGTGCTAACTAAATAGATGAAGAATGCATAATCACTTTGGCTCAGTTAATTCCAATAATTTCAACAACTGGTTCACTTAAAAATTCATCCGACTGGCTAAGTCTTCAATTTTCACTTTTTAGAGTAGTAGATATTTTTACTGCAAAGTAACTTGTTGCACTTTTCAATGTGCAAGTTTGTGCAGTTTTGCTCATGATTCTATTTACAAGTATTTTTAGCCAGTTTTCATCAATCAAGAAAAATGAAGCCTGCCTTTTCGTCCCCAAATTGTAAACAGGTATAAAGCTTTTTAAACACTAATCTTAAAATGTCAACTGTTAATTGTCGAAGTCTCCTTTCCAATCATGCAATCTGTTTCTGTTCAACACAAATCTGGGTAGGAGCATAAACATGTATTCCATATGTTAGGGCTATCAATAAATACTGCATGATTTCATCTTAGGAGAAGTTTTACTGTGATCATGTATTCATGTTTTAGGTAATAGTCCAAAATTTCACAGATATTTTAAGAAAAAGGACAGAACTAAATTTATTTCCAATGTTGAAAAAAATCATAAATATACCCAAGTTCAACCACACTACTGACAGAATTGCTACTGAGTTTCAAAAGAGGGCAATGTGTTACCTGTAAAAAAGTTGCTCTTATTTTAAGGTTGATTTTACTTTCCCCTCCCAGGATATCAATTGTAATGTGAGTTGCATATTGTAGCAGTTTAACAGTTTAGTGCTTTCAACTTTATCAGCCTTTCCAATTTTACTCAGGCTTTTCAAAATCAGCGGGCCGTCAGATTCACTTTCTTTCCAAAAGAAATCCAAATATGAACACTTGAAATAAATAGGTTACAGAAGGCAAATCAAGTGTTCTCAGGTTTGAGAATAAGATAGAAACAAGGTATAACAAAAAGATATCCAAAATTATTTAGGCATCAAGTGCTAGAAAGAAAACATAAAATAATTCAGAAAACTATTTTGGATGTATCATCTTTCTTAAAGATAATCAGCTATATTCCTGAAAAAAAGATAGTCAGAAATTAACTTTTTTTGTTTAATCTGTAGGTTACTTTCCATTATAACACGTCCATTTTACAAAACTTGATGTGAAAGACAAGAGAGTTAGTTTCTGCAAACTGGCAAATCTGGTTGCCAGTGTTCTTATCCAAGGCAAACCTGATACACTTTATTTAATGAATAGATGGCCAGTTTTAAAATTAACAATGAGAAGTTCTCTAAATAGTCAATAGTAATGTCTATATCATAAACAGTAATTATTTATATATAAAACATATAATAGTATCCCCTTCAGAGTCATGCTAGGTGTTCCAAAATCCAATAAATCTACTTGGAGTAACTGGTAATCCTGCTGCTTTCTAACAGTTTGGTCCTAAAGCTTCACATTTTAGAAACGAACAAACAAAACAGAAACAGTATGTCACTGAAGGAAGCTGCTGAGCGCTCTGGAACTGCAGGAGTTGAGCACGACTGAAAAGATGGCCCCGGGAGAACATGACTGGTGCCCGCACAGTCTCGGGCACCACCTTGGGAGGCTTGTGCAGGTAAACATTAAAAAGAGAGAGAGATCCAAAGAAAAAAAATGGCATCTTTTCAGAACTTTGTCAACTGTTCCCACAACCCAAGTCTGGTTTTCAAAGTTGCACAAGTGCTTGGAATCACTCTGAAATAATTATCTTCAGAGTTTAAAGGCTTCAGAGTATAAGGGGCGCTTCCTAAAACAAGAAGCCTATATTTATACCACAAATTGGAACTCATTCCAAAGCCCCTTCTTAGAAAAGAATTAAAAACAAAAAAAAAACCCAAAACTTAAAAGTCATGGAAAATTCACATGCAGCTAAAGCTAATAAACGTAAAAATACCAAACACACACAAATCCCCAAAGCAATTTCATATATTTCTAGGCCTGAGACATTCCTTAGGAGAAATAAAGATTCTACACCATAGAAAAGACAGCATTACAACACACTAGTATTAAAATCTGCTGATGTAGTTTAGTTCTTATTCTACTTCATACCCATCACTTACGTAGCTGGCCTCCTATAAATTAAAAGGCGCCATTAGGAGGCTGTTTAGACAAAACGTGGCTCCAAAGCTTGTTTAAAATAATTTTTTATTGCCCAGGATAGTTTTTTTCTTGTGTCTTGTTTTTTTTTTTTTTTTTTGCTTGTTTTCTTTTTAAATAACTATAAATTCAAGCTCAGGGAAGTTTGCTTTGCCTTGAAAAAAACAAAACAAAACAAAACAACAAAGCTGTTCTATCATTTGCTAACCTGATCTCATTTGAAGAGAGAGATGGTAGTTATCTTGCAAGAGTAAAATTTATACCATGAATGATGCAGGTCTAAGTCTGGTGGCACTAAAAGGAGACGATAGCATTGTTGACAAAATTATAATCTGCTGGTGGCATTTGCGGAAAAGAAGCCCTTGCAAATTTCTAAATAACAGTAAACTCTGTTAGGAAATTCTAAAGTGTCTTACGGGCCAAAAAGGGAATGAGGTTAGTAAAATGCCTCAACAGAGTTTGAATAAAATACTGGGTTTGAGAGTTACTGGAACTTGGATATGTAAAAATAGGGTGGTAGGCTGGGTCATGCTTACAATGGTCTCAAGTTCAAATAAACTACTGTGACAATACACCACTTCACAGGTCACACGCTTTTCCACTTCTCCAGGGCTATTCTTCCCTTCAGTAGGTGCTGGCAGAAGGCGTGCTCAGTCGCTTTCCAATATAGATGCTGAAAGGAAACAGAGTACATCATGTCTCATCGGTGTAGACGGCGGCATGCCTGCTGGCCACAGGCCGAACTGCACCGAACAACTCCATGGTGTAGAAGACTCTAAAGGTGTTAAGCGCACAGCTCCCTAACACACTGAAATCACTGCTGACTTACTTAAAACTCGTCACCAGCCAGCCAAACTGGTTTTATGTAATTATGTTTACTCATTAGGCAGGACTGGACAGCACGGGGGCAGTGATCACACGAAGTAAAACCAGAGAGAACAGATCCCTCCAAAGAACAAAGCACAGCCAACTTCCTTTGACATGTTCCCTTATAGTAGGCAGAAAGTTCTACTGATACTTCACATACAAAATACAGTAACATGCCAAATTACAAAGCTGCCAGGGCTTTACAGTGGGCTCTTAACTCTTCAGGATTAAGGCCTAACGTTACTTTTCCGTGCCAAGCAAGTATTTTACCATTAAACAACATAAGCAGAAGGGCAGTTAAGGAAAACAGGAAGCTAGTCCCACACGGCAGTGTAATAAAACCAACTTTCTCAAATCCTTTTTTCCCCACACACATCTAAAACAATAGTTACACTTACACCAGCAAGCGAGACAATCTGAAGACTCATGAAAGGAAGGGCTATCAGAAGGTATAAAAACCAAGTCCTTGAGGGCAAATGAACTACTGTGCAGTCATTACTGAAGGGGAATTTAAACTCCTCTCCTGCCTGCCCTCACACCAACCCCATTCAACACCCACACACTCCCTTCCTCCACAAACCCCTTCCATCTATTCTGTTGTTTGTGATCGCAGCCTTTGCCATCACAAAAACAGATCAAGCACCCAGGAAGACAGAAGAAGTCTATGGAAAAGTCATGTGTATGGTTCCACGTTTATGACTGTAAGTAAATCCCTTACCCATATGCTGAACTCCTTATAGGGGAGATAAGGGTCACATAGCTTTTGTATATTATATAGAGAAAATGATTCTTCGCACATGCTTAAAGAGAATAACAGGTCTTAAAAAAAATAACTAGTGTTTAACTCTTAAAATCTTTCAAAAATGGATTTCCTCAACTGTTCCATCAAGACAAAAAAAAAAGAATTTAAAAGACATTCCTGAAAAATTCATCAGTTATAGGTAAATGTAAGGCCAACTTTAGAAGAATAAATGAAAATGCTACAAAGAAAAAAAACAGGATCCTGAACCAACCTACCAGTTTCACTCAAGGCCTATTCAATAAAATCGTGTATTTTCCCATCTGGGGGAAAAAAAAATGTTCAAATCAACCCCAAATTTAAACACTTACAGGTTAGTTTACTTTAAAACTTAGCTAATCTTGATGAATCACTAAATTCTATCCCTGAAACTAATAATACACTGTCTGCTAACGAAATTGAACTTAAAAAAAATAAATAAATAAATAAAAATAAAACTTAGCTAATCTTGAGTAATTCATAAATAAGAACAAAATGCAAAAGGAAAAATTAAGCATAGAAGAGCCCACTTAAAGATGACCATTGAGAGGATTAACATGAACAACTTATTTTCAAATAAGAAAAATAAAACTCCACTACTAAAAATGCCTGCCAGTGTACCAATAGTGTATCAGCTTCAATAGTTCTTTTAAGCTCTCCCTATTTGCACTGAAACATTAAAAGCAAAACAAATACAAACTGTTTCATGCCTATTTCTTACGTCTGGAAACACAACAGGGGATGAAATGAAGGAAAAACCCGTTAGGAGTCCACCAGTACTTACCCTAGGCCCAAAGCCAAAACATGAGAGAGGAAGAGAGACGGAATGAACACCTTAAGGAATTCTGCGGAGAAAATACCCCCTTTCTTCATGGCCCCACTTTTCCTCATGCTTAAAGAGACGGAGCGTTTGGGGTGTCTGAAGTGGAACTCCCTGAGGGAAGAAAGGCAGGGGCAGTGGTCAGAAACGCACTTGCTGAGAACATCCTGGGAGCGAGCAGGTCCGCTGCCCGGGAGCAGCGTCTGCCATGTCCCCTGAGAAGACACGTGCAAGGACTTACTTAGGTGGAATATTTTCAGGTCTACTGGACCAGTCGGACACCCAGTCGACGCTTTTCTTCGAAGCATCAACTTCTTTCTCTCCTTCTGGAACTTCTTCTTCTGACTGTGAAGAAGAATTACAACTTTAAAAAAGAAAAAAAGGAAGCCCAATTGTTCCTACTACAAAAGACAAATCTAGACAGAAAATACATGAAAACTCTAAGGTTGTGTGCGTCAGCAATTTTTATGTAAGAAACACGCCAGGTTTCTAAAAAGGCTGACCCAATGATCTGAGATCAGGGCATTTAATATCTTAAAAAGAACTTGAGAGGGCCTTACTGTTGTTCTATCTAAGCGTAGGATGTGAACCTGAAAAAAGTGCACTTCAGGCGGTAATGCTCACTAAAATGTGGAGAGGATTAATAACTGTTGCATCTGGGTGATACTTATACCGAGGCCCACTGCAACATTCTCTTTACTTCTGTTCACACTTAAAATTTTTCATTATTAAAAATAAAAAAAATCTCCAAACATATATGCTAACCAATATAAAGCGATGAGAAAACAAGTGGGAGATGTGATGAGGAAATAAATAATAATATTTATTAATCATTTATCAAGAGACAAGCATCATTCTAAGCACGTTACATACATTAATCATTTTTACCTGGCAACAACCCCATAAAAACAGGAATTATCAATATTCTATTTTACAGATGAGGAAATGAAGACATAAATTCAGTAAGTGCCTGAGGTTCTGTAAGTAGTAAGAGACAGGGCCAGTATTTAAACTGGGTAAATTGTCTCTCAAGTCCCCAACTCCTAAGCAATAGGTTTTACTTCCTGGAAGGAGATTCCATCTTTTTTGACAAATCACTATCTAAACATTTCCCAAGGTTTATTCAGAACTACTTAAGCCAAAAGTTTTTTGGAATCATTTATTTTATACTGACTTAGAATTTGACATTTTTTGCATCAGGTAAATGAAAACGAAGTCCTTTTTCTTACTAATGATAACCTACAGTTTCAGGCCGAGAACAAGCAAAATTCCCAATAGCTTCTCTTTCACGAGAACCCACAGGAATGAGATAGTCCTAAAAATGACAGCAATATTCACTCGGCTTTAAGGAATGTGATGATAGGACCTCAAACCCAAGGGTCTCAAAGCAAAGAACTATTTTGATTTGTTACTTTGTTTGAACAGGATTCACTCTTTGACCAAAGCTTTCATTCTTTTTGGTAGATAGCTATGAAATGCAGAGCTTGATATATATCACGTGATTCTTTTTGACAGACTAGTTCTCTATGAACTAAGTGCCCCAGGAAGGTAATTCAGAGAGTGAAAGGGGCTACCCTATCTCTAGAGACTAACAAACTAGAAAGTAAAATCCCTGTGCATTTTTGCTACTCTGGTAGTATCATTCTTATTTAGTTCTGCTGGACTTGGCAAATTCCACTGAATGACACAATGTAGCCTTTATGATTAAGCTTTTTCCATTGGGTATTGAGATTACTCGGGATCATGAGTTGGCTCTTTGTGGAATAAATCTGAAAATATCTTAAATCAAAAACAATAAGTTGTTACAATTTACTTATAGATCAGTTTGTGTACACACAATATCTGACGATATTCAACACATTGCATGTCACTTCTGCTTAGTTTCCAACTCTGGTCTCATGTGTCTCTCCTTAAAACTGCTCAAAGACTGAGGTTTAAATTTGTGAACAAGGTTAATATTTCCTACTTTCAAAGAGAATGAAAATGTAATAAGATTTTACGGCTTAATTTACTTTAAGATGATGTCATTTTCTCTCAGTTGAGTGAAGCAAAGTTATCTTTGGACTACTAGTAAAAACAAATTCCCCAAATCAGTTTATAATGCTTACCTTAAGAACCAAGAATCCTGTTATCCTCATTTACTACTGCTGTGTGCTTCCCTTTATTAATCTTAAATTTGCCAGTTTCAGGTTTTAAATTACCTTCCAATCCTTGGAAACATGCACTTAATATGGTAAAAATGTACTTATTCTAATTAAATAAGGTTCATGCTTTTAACTCAATCAAAAATCTTCTCTGATTATTTTAGCCTCTTCTCATGGGCAAGTCCTTTACCTTCAAAGCACTTATATTTTCCCTCCCTGGCCCATGTCAAGTTCTCTAGTCTCTACGTGCAGCTATTGAACTGCACAGAATGGGTCCATAACCCCAGTTTTACATCAGGGGAAAGGGAGGACATTTTCGGTCTGCATCAGTGATAGTGATACCCAACATTGTGCTGGCCCCCTTCAGTCCCAGAAACACACTGCAAAAATGACTTCAGGAGACCTCCACAGTCTATTTGCTGCCATAAAACAGACTCTTAAGGACTACAGTCATAAAAGTGTAGTCTGAAAGATCCTTTTCCTAAATGCATTACACCTTAGGCTTCCTCATACCATAACTCACCAGGCACGTCTTAGTTCATCCTCACGACCTTGTGAGCTCTCCTGAAATCAACCCCGTGCATAGACTTATTTTAGTAGAAGGCACAGGGGCTGCAGGCTCAGACAGCCCTGGTTTCAATCCTGGCTCCATCACCCACTGGCTTTGTGATCTTAGATAAGTAATCTAATGAAGACAAAGCCCCACTTCTCCCATTTGTCCTCAGGGCTAATATCACCTCTTTTACTAGACTGAGAACATTGAAAGTGGGAAAAATCTTTTTTAAAAATAAATTTAGCACCTAGAATATTTTAATATATATTAGTGTCTTTCCTTCCTCCTCCTAGAAAAGGCTGAAAACATTCTATATTCCTCATATAGACACATATAAAAATGTTTGATAAGAGCAAGTCCCATAACAGTCCTATGGTAAATGCTTCCATTTGCTAACCCTAAGCTCACTTCTCGTTCATGAAAAAAATCCACCCTCCTAAAACCTAAAGTTATTAATTTTTAAATGATCATTTCTGCAATTTTAAAAAAGCAATGTAATAGGCTTTTTGAAAGTTTAAATGAATCATACCGACTGATTTCTCTTTTATTAAAAGTCTTACTCTCAAAGAACATATTTTTCTTAAGGGACTTAAAACTGCTTTTCCCAAGATGTAACCATGTTTAAATGGACTGCTCTGATTGTTAATGTGGCTTACCCAACAATGTTGATGGTAACTAATGTTCCTTTAGGTACTGGTTTCTGAATTGGGACCACAGTAGCAATACTACCATAATCTGACACAGAAGCCAAAAATGTTACATTTTCTCTCCTGAATTTCACAAAATCCTCTGGAATTCTAGGATGAACTCAGTCAGCTCTACAATTCCATTTAAATTATCAGTTAAGGCTAATTGTACACTGCCACTCCATGAATCAAGACAGCACTTATCAGAGTGTTCTATTATGTTGTTAGATAGATTATTAGGAGGGAAAAGTATGTGTGGAGGGGGAGGGAGGTCTAAGATCAAATAAGCTTGGGAAACACTTGGTTTAAACAAACAGATTCTTCTACTGCAGGAATTGTCAGAGCCTTTAATATGCTACTATGTGCTGTGAATACTGGGGGCGGGGGAGGGGGGCGGAGAGACCAGAGACTGTATTATTTCCACTTAACTTGACTTCAGAACTATCTTATGGAGCTTCCCATTGAGCAAATGTTCCTCGAAACACATTCTGTAAAATGCTAATCTAGATTTTCAAATTGTCAATATGAATTGAGGACATCTTCCTCAGGAAAGACTAGAGCAAAGAATTAATTTCATTTCTCTTCCTTGGGATTCCTTAGTACACTTTTGTCATGGAAACTACATATTTTCTTTTTCATTAGTTACAGCTTATGCACATGGCAAAACTGACATACATTAGCCAGCAATTCAAGAATTGCAGTTTGAACATCTCTGTACATGAGAGCCTTCTTTATAATATAAAGCTCATAAAATAAATTTATATCTGATCTGTAGATTTTAGAGAACAGCACCAACAGAATATGGAAGAAGCAGGGAGAAACTGTGCAGCCTCTGAAACAGAAAGAATACTGGGTGGACCCAACATATCATGCACAATATTTCAAGTGCAAAAGGGGAATAGGACATTATACAGGGAGAACCCAATACTGAATGCATTTAAACATTCCTTCCACAAATACTCTGCTAGCCCATGAACACGGTAGAAAAAGACAATGGTTCTGGTCCTCACAAATTTGCACTCTAGCACTTTTAGGCGAGTTGACACATCAATACAGTAAAGGGCCAGGCTATGAGCATTTTAAATCGTTAATAACAATTACTTACTTATCGTTAATTTCAGAATATTAATCATTGTATGCTTTCAATACTGTAGCCATCTATTTTACTGACAATGTCAACTCCTAGTGAACTACATTTACCTTCTTTAGTTTAAGGAACCCTGCAAAATTTAGATGAATTTTATCTCTAGCTGTTGAAATTCGTCTCAAAAGTCACTGCTTTGATGTCAAATGCAGAGGAAGTTTTCACGCCTGTTTCTACAACTTTCCTTTTCATTCATTTTGTGACCTTAAATAAAACATCTGTCTCAGCTTTCTATTTATAAACTCAAGAAACTAGCCTGGAATACTGGAATGATACATTACAGACAAGAATTTTCCAATTCTGTTAGGGTGAGAGGGACCCAAAGTCTCAGCTGCAAAGGCATATAACGAGGACTGTATCATCCCAAGTAAATTCCAAAATCAGAAACTGAAGAACTTATACCAGCTTCCAACTACTTTTTAAAGTCTTCTTATTCTTTAATATATTTTAGCAAAACACAGAGTTCGCATTCCTAATTATTTACCGTACATCAGAAAAACAAGCACACGCACACACCTGAGAGCTATGGTCCCTGCTGGTGTGCATCTCCACATCAAACATAATCTGCCCATCTTCTTGTGGGGAAGGGCTAGAAGAGGAAGAATTTAGCCATTAGTTTTAATTCTCATTTTGTCAAGTAAATTAACCTCCACTGGAAATTAGAAAATTAAGTTACAGTAGTACGGCTCTGAAAAAGCGGCAAATCAAAAAGTATTATCTTGACCCCAAAGAACAAATGAAATTGAGCACTCTTATTCCCAAAATGTTCTGGAATTTTGTGATGATGATGAATTCCTTTGCAAGGATAAATTTTCTCTTTTTTATTCTTTTTCCAATAAAGGTACAAAGATCTTCAAAATTCAGAAACTTAATTTCGGGTTCTTTTTTCTCAAAGTTCTTTCATCATTTAATAATTCATCACCAGTGATTTTCAATGCGTGAAAGCAGTTTTCAGAGTCTAGTTGGTTCCCAGTATCCTGAGGAGCTTCCCCGATGTAATCTGAAACCGGCCCCCACACGGGAGGGCAAGGAGAGGGAAAGAGGCAGGCCACTCCAGGGTGGTAGGTGGCAGCTTTAAACAGCAAGGGAATTTACAGACGAGGCTTGTCTTGGCGTGACAGTAAGGTGAGCAGATGGCACCCGCGTGCCACATCTTAAAAGTTTATACAGAGGCCTTAACTGGGTTTAGTCACGTATACCATTCAAACAGTCTCAACACCACATTTCTGTCTCAAAGCTGTATTCCTGAGGCAGCTTCTGGGAGCCATGAAGGCAAGCAGAACACACATTCCAAGGACAGGGGAGGGAATGAGGAGCCTCCAATTACCCAAGTCCAGCTCCAGGGTCAAACTGCGGTCACGTCTTCTCGAACACCTCCCCCAACACTCTTTCAAAGGGACTTCAAGGTTAAAATTGTTTTCATGATACTATGATACTATTATGATTTATTTGCCTTTTTTATTCTTATTCTGTCATGTCTATCATTCTTAGTCCGTGTGTTGTGAAATTTTCCAAAGGCTACATGATGTGTTTTATCACTACAAACCAAATGCAAAAGCAAATGAGAATCCAGCTGTTTTCTATTAAGCCAGATAAGAAAGAGATTTGCAAAACTGTAAATCAATGCCACTAGTTCTTACTAATATTTTTTTTGGTTATGAAAAAGTTATTTTTCATTTTAAAAAGTTACTCATACTGCAATGTAATGGGTTTATTACTGTTGAATGAATACATATTTTTAAATTTCTTTTAATTTCTGATATACTTAAATAATATATATAACCCCCATCAACAAAAGATCTTTGGGGATCCTAGTAATTTTTAGGAATGTAAAGGAGTATGGAGACCAGAACCACCATTCTACTTATTTCAGAAATATTTGCTTTGAGATATTTCAGAGTGAATTATATAAGCATATATATGAATATAGAACCCTCAATTAAAAGTACAAAATATATTCCCAGAAACAAAAATTTACAGATAAACTTTTAGACAAAAACACATGATCACAAACTATACTTGATATGATAGATGAAAACAACCTGGTAAGTTCTATTCTTAACTTTATCAATGATTCCTTGTGTAACCACAGCAGGTCACTGGATTTTCCACTACACACCCCACCCCACCAAATCTAAACCGAAGTAGGGATGAAAACGCTCCAGGCTTAACCTGTTCAAAGGAGTAGATGTTATCTGTTAAAGCTACCACGAGCACGTGTACAATGTTAACATATAGAGATGCTTTTGAACTAGAAATCTCAGGCTAGAGCACAGGAACCAGGTGGAAGGAGGCACTCTTGTTGTCTTCAGTTTACTGTCCTTATGCTCACATAGCACTGTTGCATTCACAGCCAGAGAGATCAAGTTAAGGGTCAGCCTCACAGAGCCAGGAGCAGGTCAAGGCAGCAGAATGACATAGGCAAGAACCCTACAGAAGCACTGCTCTACTTTTTCACTCTATCACTGCACCAATCTCACTTAGAAGAATACTAAACATTTCACTGGTAAACGGTTTACTACTTCTAACAATATGGAATGCATTAGAGCTTCAATCCTGGCTCATATTAGAATTAGCCGGGGAGCTTTTAAAATATCCTCACATCTCTACCCCATCCCTGACGACAGAATATGGAACCTCTAGGGATGTGGCCTGTACACTGGTATTTTTAAAAGCTCCCTGGGTGTATCTAGTGTGTAGGTTGAGAACTCCTGTAATAGGGTAAAACGCAATACAAAACACAAAGGGATTATCTTCTAATAACCACTACAGTGACAAAAATGTATCTCTGGAATAATTTTTAAATTGAAAATATGGTTTACCCTTGAACAATGCAGGGTTTAACCCTGCACAGTTAAAAATCTGTGTATAACTTCTGACTCCCCCCTAAACTTAATTACTAATAAACCACTTTTGACAAGAAGCCTTATAGATAACATAGTCAATTTACACGTATCTTGTATGTTATAGGTTTTATGTAGTGTATTCTTACAATAAAGTAGGCTAGAGGAAAAAAATGTTAAAGAAACTCCTGAGGAAGAGAAACTACATTTACAGTACTGTACTGGATTTATGTGAAGAAATCCACATGGCTGTGTAGTTCAGACCCATGTTGTTCAAGGGTCACTGTATATATAAATTAGCTCCGGGATAAATATCCAACAGTCCTAAAATGTTTCCACCTACAAAAAACACTTCTCAATGACTTCAAATATAGAGATGCAAGGCAACTCAAATGACAGGAATTTTGAAGACATTTTAAAATGTTAAGGTGTGTTGGCACAGGAGAGTATTACTGAGCTAGAGTTGCAGGCCTTCTCTGAAAGATGACCAGGAACCCAGAGCCTAAAGATACAGAAGCTGAGGGATAGGAAAGTGTTCAAAAGCACGTGCCACGCCTTGCTTCACGTGTTTAGAAACCTAACTTAAACGTGATCACGGGAAGGTAAATTCATATTCGATCACAAGTATAACTACAACCACAAGTGAAATAAGATGACTTTTTCTCTGCTCAGTGACAACAGCAAGTGAACAACAGGTTAAGAGACACATTGATACCAATGATCAAGGGCCATGTACTTGAATGTATAGTAAAAGTCTTCTAAACGGGCCCAGAACAAGCAGAAAACTTCAGAAACCCATTACAAGTCCCATAATATAAATGTAATAGGATATAAACTTCATTCTGAAAGACAGACGAATGCTGTTGCAACTGGAATCAATGGCAAGCTGCTCAGCAAAGAGCCATCTGCTCTGCTTCTGCTTATAACCACAGCCATACCAGGCTCCTAAGAAGCACAGGGACACAGGCAGAGATGAGACGGGGCGGTGGGGGCGCACAGTGCGCCAGGGCCAGCAAACCGGGCTCTGCTACCTTGGTAACATTGGTGGATTGTAAGATATGCAGGAACCTCAAATATGACTGAACTCCTCTTTCTCCTTTGAAACTTTTTCTGACAAATAAAATATGCTATATACACAATTTTTACAAAGTACAAAAATATTCAGAAGAAGAAAAATATCCATAATGCCATCCCTTAGAGATTATCACTTTTATTTTTAGTATACATTTTAAGTGTTTCCTTAGTCTTTGCCTTGAGCATCTGCATTTTCTACATGACTAATGTCAGTTAACTCTTAATTAACCAAAAGATCACCCAGTATCCCATAATGCTAACAGTATGGCTGTCACCAGTCTAGGAAGTGTCAGGTATACCACCCAGCCCTCCGGAAAAAAACAAAGCTTGTGCTGCAAAATAAACGAACAACTCAGCGTCAGCCCACTCACACATACCACTGTATCCTTACTCTTTCACCAAAAGCAGCCCTTCACCAGTGGAATTACTCTCCCCAAGGCCAAGGCAGAAAAATGAGGTCTGAAATAAAAGATCCTCTGAAGAAACAGAATGGTCTTCCAAATTAACTATCTTTGCAGACCCTGGTTGGTGTTTCCAACCATGCAACTACTACTATAACTTCAATCAACCTGCAGTTTCTAGGACCCAAACGTTTATTGAGTGTCTCCTATGCACCGGCACCATGACTGTCAAGGGTACAAAGGAGATGAAACAGGACCCCTGCCTTTTGGAGCCTCACAGTCTAGAAGGGGGACAGATACGTAACTGGCAGCATGTGATCTGTGAAACAGGACACAAAGGAAAATGGGAGAAAGTTTAATACAAGTAAACGTTTATGCCATTGACTTTTAAACTGATAAACATCAAAAAAATGATACAATCTGAATAAGGAAATTGATTTAATCTAGGGAAAAACACCAGGCACTCAAGTATTTGTCAATTAGCTATCTGATTTAAATACACACGCTGCAATAAATCAGGAGTCACATTTTGTAAAAGAAAATGAAAGCAGATTTATTTTTTCTAATGGGAATTAACCTTGGGACCCATCTGTACAGATCTCACTTACCTGTCACAGTGAGAGCTGGCTCTTGAACTACTCTGTCCTGATTCATGTTGTGCATCCAAAAGAATCTTCTCCATGTCTCCATTGTGGATAGAGGATGAGGAAGGTACATGTTCTAGCCCCCCATTTTTCCCATTGCCATTATCATTGCCATTGCTGCTGTTCATGGGTAGCTCCACCCAGGAACCTGTTGGACAAGTCAGATAGCTTAAGTTAACCACAGCAGAACCAAACTCTGTCATGTGCACACAGATGCGAATGTGGTGAATTCTGATAAGAATTCGGTCTTGCCTCAAAGCAAATGCAAGAGTATTCTGAAGAAAATAAATAAGGAGCAACAGAAGTCTAAAAATATATATAGTTCCTGTTCCTGAAGTAGCTCACGCAATCAACCAATTTAGAAGAAGATGGAATTCTACAACTAGTATCTTAGAAAATGTGTCTTTCAGCCAATTTTCTCTCTAGTTAAAGCTTAGTTTATAGATGATAAGCACTTCACTGAAAACTTTGAGATTGCTTTTCAGAAAATAAACGGCTACTTTATTACTACTTATCTTTAATATTTTAATTATGTATGTTTAACATAATATATATATGTATTTTTTCCCACTACTTCAGCTATTTAGTTGTATCCTCCCCACAGATAAAATAAACCTATGGCTTAGAAACTTCTTAAGAGTCATCTAAATAAGTTAACAACTGTCCTAATTAGCACAATTAGAAGCTCCTAGAAAACTTAAATCCAATCATAAAATTTTCAATTTGTGTACAAATGTGCAGCATAAAATTAATGCATCTAGCTCTTAATTAAATCCGGTGATAATACTAAAAAAAAAAATCCGAAAAAAGCTTTCTCTCTACCCCACAAATTAGTTTCTTCCTTTCCTTTACACCTCACCCCTTTCTATCCTCTCCCCTATGCATTAACTGTACCTTGTGGACTTGTCCTTTCTTCTCTCCCACGACTTCCCTATTTCCTAGGGTTTCACTAAGCTTTGTTGGTTTTGGGGGAGAAACTGCATCTGTATAGGAGACACTGAGGTTTTCTCAGGCCAACAGTCAAAGAGGGTGGAGCCACAGGAAAGGGGATGTGGCCCTGGTAATCTGGACAGCTCTTGAAAATATTTATTTATTGGCTCAATGAGTTTGCTGAACACATTAAGGTGCTTTAATTTTAATAAGAATTGGTAACAGTAGCCAGTAGACCAACTTCACAACAAAAAGAAACACGGGTGAATTTTCTTCCTAATTTCCATTCTGTATAACAAATTTTGTTTTAGAAAATATAACCAAGCAGGTTGATAGGGCCGGTCTTCCAAACTCTCAGCAGAACATTAGAGTTCTGTGGCCAGTCTTCCATCAGTAAATCAGAAAAACCACCAAATGAGGCTCAAACCTTAAAATGTACTCTCAGGGAGGGGAGGACTATTCTAAATCCAAAGTGAACTCAACATCATCCTTACATGAAGGAAAAGCTCAAAGGCAGACCTGGCAGGAAATCTGACTCCACCACCTACTCTCTGCCTGTCTTTCTGAGCTTAGGTATTCTCATTTGTAAAACAGAGATATAAAAATACAGACCCCTACCTCTCAGAGCTGCTCTGAGGATTAAACACAGGACATAGGTATAAGTGCCCAGAAGGTGGGACATATTCAGCTATCCACTAGTTAAAAGAGCTTATTATTTGTCAAGTACTTAGAACAGTGTTTGCTAAATAAAAACGAAGTTACCCTTTCCTTCCTCTCCCTCTAAGGCAGTCCCTGTGGGTGTCACAGTCCTGTAACCACCACCAAATCTTTGGGACTGTACTGCCAAACAACACAGCTGTAGGACATCTCTGTGACCTCATTCTACACACAAAAATGGACACAGACTAGACAGAACTCAAAATGTATTAACAAGTTCAACTAGCAAAGCTAAGACAGATTTAACACTAAAGGTAATTTAATTAAATACTTGGAGTGCCTTTGGAGTATATAAGAAGTATGCCAAAAGCATCCCTAAATTTAGAGTTCTGCAAAGTATTTCAACAGGAAAGAGACAGAAAAAGAGGTATATGATAAATTTTTTTCTAGTTTAACTGTTTTCTAGGACTGTCAAACTTATTTTAAGCCAATGGAATCAGTTCTTCTTGTACAGAAGCCCAAAGTGTAAAATAAACAAAAGACCTGAGCTGCTCTGATAGAACTAAGGAACCAGGGTTTTCCCATGGGTCTCTGTGGAAGCCAGTCTTCCCTAAAATACAGTTAATGTTCACCTCAAGTAGCTGATCAAAGAGAAAACTGGCTGTAACAGTATCAGCTTTTCCAGACCTTACTTTTTTAAAGGACTTCCAAACCAATATCTAAATTCTACTTTCTGCATTAAAAATATATGAGCAATCATAACCTAGGAACTTGAGAAGACATAGCTGGAAAACCTCAGTAAAACCGATCTCTGTGACTGGCTTCACATCCAGTATAACTGAAGTCATTTCTACTTAAGGCAGACAATATTTATCTGGCATATATTACTAGGGTGGTTAAGAGCACAGACTGAAGGCAGACTCCCACTCTGCCACTTACATCTGTTACACCCTAGACAGGTTACTTAACCCCTTAACAGTTTTCTCATCTATAAACTGGGGATAATAATTGTATCTACCTCACAGGATTGTTAGAAGGTTGAAATGAATAAAGCATGGTGAAAAATAAGGTCACTAGTACAGGGTAACTGCTATGTACTATCCACCACTATAATTATACTCTTTTTAAAAAATTTATTGCAAAAATGTGTTTCTTGAAAATAAACATACATAAAGTAAAAACACCTTTCCTCCCAATCTCCCATTCCTACTCCCAAAGACCACTTTTAAAAGGTTTGTATGTCAACTTCCAGAGCTTTTTCAATGAAATACAGTTGTTTTTTGCTTTTGTTTTTATAAAAAAATTGTACTATAAATATTTTTCGGTAAGAAGCTTTTTTTTTTTTTTTTAAGATTTTATCTATCTATTTGAGAGAGAAAGAGAGTGCAAGCATGAGCAGGGGGAAGGGCAGAGGGAGAGGGAGAAGCAGACTCCCCACCGAGCAGAAAGCATGATGCAGGGCTCGATCCCAAGACCCTGAGATCATGACTGGAGCCGAAGGTAGCCGCCTAACCGAATGAGCCACCCAGGCGCCCCTGTAAGAAGCATTTCTTACCTAACAACTTATAGATCTCTTTCAATGTCAATGTATATTACCTTACTTTATTCTTTTAAACAACTGCTTTGCATCTCATCATAAGTATATACCATACTTTAACCATTATCTAAATGTCAAGGTTAACCATTACCACAATCAGGTCTTCAATAGACAATAATTTGACAATGTGCATTAAGACACCTAAAAAGGTAGATTTCCCTTAAAAGTTCTCTTCCAGATAGATCATCTATGGAAATAAACATTATTGCAGAAAAAGTTACGCACACAGATTATTAAAAGCTTCATCTTTTGACTAAGACGGGAAAAAAAATAAACTTGTCTTTCTCAATAGATGGACTGCACATTCTTTTCATTACCTAGTTCATTCCTGATTTACAGCCTCAGAATTTCTTGATGTTCTAACTCTACCAATTCTCACAAAGTCCCCTTCTACTTGGAAAGGAAACAAGACAAGATATGAGGATTGTGCTGGCCAAGCAATACAAAGTAGAAAAAAATCTGAGTGAATTCTCTTCCTGATAATCAAACTTTAAAATTAAAAACTGCAGGCTCTCTCCATTATAAGACTACTTACAAACCGAGAAGCGTTCTCTTATGCCAGACTCTACACATACACAATACATGAGATATTTTCTAGTTTAAGTCTTTGAGAATTGCTAAGAGATTCAGAATTGGTAAGAGAATCACACTTCTACATTTGGTAATATAGTACATCGTGAAGGTTGGTCCAGTAATTGTGATTATATTCATGACTGTATGCTGTATATATTCTTTATAGTTTTATAATCACTAGTTCAATCCTCTTGCAAGAAGGGGAGTGGGAGAGCTGAGGGGTAGAGGAAGGGAGAGAAGGAAGAAGAGTAGTTCTCATCTTTTTCCACAACTTTCCAAGGTCCCATGTATAACTCTTATCCGAACCAGGTGTAACACATTCCATTATGTCTTATGTTCTCTCCTCAAAGTCTTTATTTTATTTCAAATACTTGATGCTGGAATCCAGACCAAGAACAGTCACCAACATTCTTCTAAAAAAAAAAAAAAAGGTCATTTTGCACAAGTGGATACTTACACACCAGTTACTTATGTAGTCAAAACAGTATCATGAAGCAGTGAAGTTTCACATGCCATAGCCTTAAAAGCCTTCTCACCATACTGGGGAAGCAAGTACATCATGGTTGAAGATGTTTAAAAAAGAAAAAAGAAAAAAAAAAAAAAAAGGCTGTACTTCCTACATTAAATAGTAACAAGAATTTTATTGCTACCTTGATTTTCCTTATATTACCTACTAAGTTATACAGCATAAATGTCCTATACAAATATTCTTAAGTAACTTGTTAGTTTTCTTAAGAATAAAACTAGGACTGGAAACTGGAAAAATGTCATTTTAACTTTGCCAGCAGTCCAAATATTTATCCACTGATTTGTAAGGAAAATAAACAGTTCCCCTACAATGGTAAACTAAAAAAAAAAAAAAAAAGGTTTCATTATTCCAAATATTTCAATAATTTGCTGTTAAAACTGTCGACCCCTGAACTGAAGAAAAATCCCAAACCACAGATAATCTGTACAATGAGTTCATCTCCTGTGTTTCATAGTTGTGCAACTTTACCCAACAAAGAACTTCAACTTATCAGCAATTTGGGTAGTATTAGATGTCTGAATAAGTTGTTTTGCCTAGTGCGCAAAAATCACTTGAAGGAATCAGTAAGGTTTCTTGTTTTGTTTAAACCACCGTTGTATAATGAACTGAAAACACAAAAGAATAAAAGGCAAGAGAGGAGAAATTAAATATGGCACTAGCTAAAAGGTTTTCAGTAACTTTTCAAAGCTCACCCTACTGAAAATACTTTCTATCTAGCAGATTTCCCAAAGCCAACATTTTGATAATCACACACAGACTGAGTGTTCTTCCACTTCGGTTAAGAGCTAATACAAACGTAGCAGCAACTGACTGGCCAAAAACATCAAATACCTCATAGGTCTATCAGACACAGAGATAAACAATCACAGACAGCTCAACCCCATTTGTTCTTGTTTTTGTTAAATGGTGTGCAAAGGAAACTAAAATTACTTTTTTCCCTGTGAAATCATGTATGCATACTAACCAAACAGCTAACTTTTAAGTACTGCATGAAAACGGTGAGTACAATCAAGAAACAGTACACGAAAAACCTAGATAGGCAGGTCACCTCTGTACATTAGAAAGAACAGCTTACTGAGAGAATAGGAAACACACATAACCAGGGGATTCTGGGCCACTAACGCGTCCTGAAAGGAACACTAGATCATTTGAAAGTAAGAATCTCAGCTCTAGGTCCTAGCCTGCTGTGAACTTGGACAACACACTTTACTCTTGCTCTCTTTACCAGTAAATAACAGAGACAGTTACCTCTAAAGTCTCTTCCCATTCTAAAATTCCATGCTTCTAAGAGTATGCTAAAAACTGGTAGGTAGCATTTTAAGTGCACATTAATACATGAAACAGATAACGTTTAAAGATACATAAATTAATCCTTTCTGTGGGAAATAACATATAAATCTTAAATTCCAGAACGTAAGACACTTGAGTTTCAAAAACTGAACATTTAAGAAAAATTTATCCATCAAAAGATGGAACAGCAGCAATAAGCAATGAAAATATCTTAAAATACTCAAATTCTATCCCCATCTTGTGGGAGGGGACAGGAACTCTTTTCCCTAAAATAATTTTTAGGCCATGTTGGAACACGTCCCTCTTATGAAAGAGATTGCAGTGCCTTTGAATGTCATTTAAGCATCCAAATGATTTTTAGACGATTTCGTCTGGCCATTTGCTAACTGTCCCAACTGCCTCTTTCATGAGATCAATTACAGAAAGGTTAGGCAAGAACCTTTCCAAGAAGACTGAGCTTTCAAGACAACTGGGAAAAACCTTAGGACAAGAGGTCTGAACACCAGAATGTTATGATAAGCAACTGTAGTTGGTCGTAACTCAAACGCTGCACATTAACTTCCAAGTGCCCGACTGTATTCTTGTGGTTTTAATCCCGTTCCTGAACATTTATTGCCCCAGATTCCACAATTTATGCAATCTTGGATGGTTCAAGAGGCTGTTCATAAAAGGTTTTCAGAGCACACAACTCCATCGTTTCAAAAACAAAACCAAAAAACTCACTTGAGCCAACTCTCAAAAACAAACAAAAAAAAGTAGCATAGCCTCCTCACCCCCCCCACCCCCAACGTGAAACAAGTAACCACTAAATTACCAAATGATTTTCCTGACCAGCCTGTGTGGTAACAAAGGAAGGGAACTGGAGGGCTCACATTCTGAGCCATAAAGGAAGGCCGACCCAGAGACGTGGGGTCAGCCGGGCCAGGCCCGAGCCCCGCCGCACACCTGACCTCCCGCGCGTCCCCCGGCCGCCCCCTCCCCTCGACCCGCCGCCCGCGTCCATCCCCCGGCGTCCCCGCTGCACGTCCCCATCCCTGCCCACGTCCCCTCCGCCGCCCGCTCCGCCCACCCTGCTCCCCTCGCCCCAAGGCCCGCCCCCCTCGCGCCCCGATTGGCTCTGCTCAGGGGCCCACCACAGGTGGGATCGGATCGCCCCCCTTCTCCTCCCACCCACCTGCCCTCCCCAACTGCCAACCCAAGCGACCTCCGACCAAGACCCCAGGAGGGAAGGGAGACAGGGCTAGAGAAAGACAGGAGCAACTCCTCCTGACAGGTGACGGGAGCTGTCAGTCACCCGCACATCCTCAGCCTTGGCCAATGGGCTGCCTTCTCCTCCCGCCCCCCGCGCGGAGCTGGCGGCGGCGGCCGGAGCAGCTCCTCCTCCCCCAACCTCCTCACCGAGCCCACCCGCCCACCACTCACTGTTGAGGCCGGCTGGCGGGGGCAAAGGCTGTTCACCTTCCTCGCAGTTGTTGTTGTTGTTGTGCGGGGGCGGCGGCTGCTCTACTAAATGAGACGACATTGTCAGGCAGCTGGAAGAGCTGTGGCCGCAGCAGGACCGCCTCTGGTTCTCGGGCAGCAACACAACAAGCCGAGTCCCCCGCCCCCTTTTCTGCTCCTGCGCAGTCCCTCCCCCGCCCCTGACGTCAGGGCCCGCTCCGGCCACGTGACGACAACACAACAAGCGACGGGGTGGGGAGGGGGCGTTCCCAGGCGAGCTTCGGACCTGGAGACGCGGGAGTCATGCTGACACGCGCACCTGGAATGAATTCTTGCGTGTCATTTGTACCGGCCTGCTGGAGTGACTTATGCAGCTGGAACTGAGATAGAGGTTAGGGAGAAATGTGTAATGAGGAAGTGTTAAGGTGCTCAGATGTTGGCACCCAAATCTGCACCAGCATTGCTTTAGCCGATCCCTGAGCATTCCTTTTTCACTATCTGCAAGGATTCATTTCTGTAATAGGTTTCATGGTGACACAAAGGAAGCAAAAACCCCGGCGCCTCCCTGTCATAAACCTAAAACAAAGCTGGCAATACATTAATACTCCAAACAGGGAACAATGTAAGGCAGACCAGAATTTTTAGTTGTTAAAGATTTTTTTTTAATTTTAAATTACAAATGTAACACGTGATCATTGTAAAAAAAAGGAAAATTCCAGGAAAACATACGGAAGAAAATAACCACCCGAATTCCATCATCTAACCTATTTCTGGGACTTGACATCGGAAGCCATGTTCCCTATACGTGGGTGACAGTAAACTACTCTATATTCCTAAACGCTGCACCTGTTTCATATAACCACGTCTTTGTCCATTCCTTGGTCTGTGTGGCACATATTTCTTTCAGTCTGTCACTTGTCTTTTAACTTTGTTTCATTCTGAAAAAGTTCAAAATTTTCATGCAATCAAACCTATTATTTTCATATGATTTGGGAACACCCTCATACCAAGATTTTAAATCTATTCCTTATAAATTTTTCTAATCTTATAGGCTTAATTTTATATTTAGGTCCTTGATCCATCTGAAATTTATTTTTGATGTGTTGTAAATTAATTAACTTCAATTTTTCCCAATTGGGTAGTCAACTGACCCAACAATATTTATTAATTTTTAAGTCATCCTTTCCACACTGATTTGAAACTGTCCCTTGTATCACGTTCTAAATTTCCTCAAAAGCATGAGTCCATTTAAGGCCTGTCTATAATAGCTCTATTAGCTAAAAGTAAGAGAAAGTTTGTCCTCCTTTGCCGTTTCAGAACTTCTCATGACTATTTAATCACTCATTAGATGAATTTTAAAAGTTGACTGTCCAAGATTGACCATGTGTTGGTAATTATTGAAGCTAGGTGATGGTTACATTAAGCTATTATTCTAGTTTTGAATACATTTGAAAAGTTCCATACAAAAAATGTTTTCTAAGGATTTGTCAAACCGCATTGCAAATTTTTTTAAGATTTTGGTCAGAAATGTATTCAATTAATAGATTAATTGGGAGGATAATTGACATATTTACAAAATAGCCTTCCCATTCAGGACTATTGTCCATCATTAAAAGAAAAAGGTAAGCAGTATAGCCAGCAAAATTGAGTTTATTCAGGAATAGCCGAGGAGTTGCGAACTATGGTGAACCATAGTCAAGTCTGAAGAAGAAAGAAGAAAGCAATTTTTAAGAAGAAAAGAGGTTGGGAGGTGTTATTTTGATAAGAGTTCATTAAGGAGAGCAAGAATTTGAGGTTGTGGCAGCTTCTCATTGACTGACCTGTTGCCAAGCAAGAGGAAAATCTTTCTTCTTCTTGCTGGGGTATGTAAAGTAAGCTTCCTGCTGAAGTATGTAAGGTAAGCTGTCAAGAGTGGTACCTGAGTGAGAATCCTCCCTTCATTGGTTCCCTTCTCCACTTTGAATTAGGTTTCCTTTATTCATTTTCACATTCCTCTCTTTTGATCAAGATCTTTCCTTGAAAGCATTCCTGCTCAAGCATTTGGTTGGTTATTTATTTATTAATTAAACATTTTTGTCTGTGTCACTCAGTGGCAGAAAGGACCTTTCCTGGTATTCCTGTCCCAGGTTGCAGGGATACCTTGAGGTGATGGAAACGATAGAAATCATATTTGCACAACAAAGAAAATAGAAGAAGGAGCTCTCAGGTATTTTCTACTCTTAAGGTCATATCTTGTCTAGATTGTAAGCTTTGGAAATCAAAGTGTTGAGTTAACATCATTCTATCTGGTGCATCACTTCTATAGAGATTTGACAAGGAACAAGTTTAAAAATAATTATGCAAAACAGAATTAAAAGTAAGATGACAAATCCAATTTGTATAATGGTTCTAAACCATGACCCAAATCTGAAGGTAGCCAACTGAACAAATCAAAGGACCAGGGAGATCAGGTGAAATTTGTTGTAACCAGTGTACTTGTTCCCTGATCTTGTGTAATTGAGTTTCTATCTCTCCAGAGGCATTTATCCAGGTGCAGCAGGTGGTATTGGCTATTGCACAAATGCCTCGTTGTTCAGCAAGTAGTCAAGGGCTATGCAGTTGTCCAAAACTATCTTAGCCGATGAGTCAAGTGATCAGTGTTGGGCTGCTACTGCTTTGGTGTGGAATTGGCTAGCTCTTCTAATATTAGGGAGAGATTTCTGATCATATGCTCACTGGTATTTACTCTAACCCGAAGAAGAAAAGCTTTCCCTACAGAGTCATGTTTGCCTCTTGGAAGTTCCCATCTAAGTTGGCCATGGAGGCTCAGTGGGTGGACCAATGAGAGGCTTCTGATTTGCTGTGCATGTTAACAGGGATGGTTAAATGTCCCAATAAGCCTTGGTCTCCAATTCACCAGCTATCTAAACATTCATATGCCCATGAAAATGCCAACCACTGCAGACAAAAATGAAACCAGGTGGAGCACAGAGGACTTCAGCTAAGGTCTGGTTATTGATAGATTCATTAGCTGGAATTTCCTGATTGAAATTTTCAAGGCAGGGGTCAGAGAAATTAGGATAACATTCTGTGAGGTGCCATCCCATCCTAAAGCTGTCTTTTCTAAAAGGCTTGCAAAGAGGAGTTAGCCCATTTATATTTCCCTTGAGTACAGGGGACAGATCATATTTAAGTAAGGAAAAGATGTGGGTTGGGAGGAAACGAAGGTTGTATGATTGGCAAAGATGGAGGTGTCTAGCTGAGCTAGCATGGTTATGACTGGGGAAAGTATAGGAACACCTGGCCATAATAGCCTAGCACCCTAGGTAACGTTCAAAGGCTTATGGGTTTAATCAGTAGTAGCATTTGAGACTAAGGAGAAATTGGTGACAGGTAAGACCAAGAGGTCTCTGACATTATGAATAGATTGGAGTTTCTGGTGATAGATTCAACGGTCAGAAAGATTTGCCCCTTTTGCAATAGGTTGGGAAATGGGAATAAGAGCCTAGACCCACATAATATATAGATAGACACAGAGATCTTACCACTTTTGTTTTAAAAATTTTAGCTATACTTCAGGTACAAAACTCAAAAGAATAGTTGGATCCAAATTATGTTTCTGGCAAATGGCCTAAGTTAAGTTTACCTCCTCAGATGGCCAAAGTTTTTTACTAAAGTATTTGTATGCTAAAAGGATCCTTTTAGAGCTGTTTTTGGAGTCATTTTGTCTTTCAGGATCTTCTGCATTCCAATCTAAGAATGCATTCCATTGTCACTGAAATGTTTGGAAACTTCTCTTTTAAGGGATCCCCTTAAGGTGGATTTATCTAAAACAAAGTTTCCCCAGAATGGCCATTACAATTCCAAAGTATCCAAAAATTTACCCAGTTTTCAGAAAGGCACAAGAACCTGGTCCAAGGATCAGATGGAACCTATCTTGCCTTTGGAGTCTCTAAAACATACCATGAGGGGCCCTGTTTTCCAACAGCTGTTTTAAAACACTGGGGATCATGTGTATTCTCACCTTTTGAACAGGATGGGTGACTTACCAAGAAGCTTCAACAAATAGAAACAGAAACAGAAGGGATTAAACAGAAATAGAGAACAAGTATGCACAGTAAAGTTGGAGAGCTTAGAACACAAAACAAAACAATAGAAATTTAGAAAACAAAAGAATACTCACCAGAAAGGGTGATATTTTCATAAAAACAGATCCCAAGTAGAGTCCAAAAGCTTGAACAAAAGGAGAGAGCTTGAATCGGAGAAAGACCCAAATCAAAATGGAAGAAGACAATGCACCTTGTGAAGAGTACAAAGGGCTCAAGTGGGTACAGGGCATAGTTCTGGGTGTTGGCAGTAGCTCAAGGGTTTGTCTCCTTTGATCCCACTTCTAACACCAAGAAATGTCAACCATCCAAAGAAGAAGGTAAGCAGTTTAGCCAACAAAATCGACCGTAGTTCAGAATAGCAGAGGAACTCAGGACAAGCAAACCTTGGCTATTCCTAGGCAAGTCCAAAGAAAGGAGGATAGCATCCTTTCATAGAGGAAAGGAGAAAGTTTGGAGGGGTTGTTTTGAACAAAAATTCATTGGAGGAGAGCAAGAGTTGAAGATTGTGACACTTTCTCATGGGCTGGGTTGTTGCTGGGCAAGGAGAAAATCTTCCTTTTTCTCACCGATATATGTAAAGTAAGTTATGACTCGATCTTGGGGTTGAGTTCAAGCCCTGCATTGGGCATGGAGCCTACTTAAAAAAATAATAATAGGGCGCCTGGGTGGCTCAGTTGGTTAAGCAATTGCCTTCGGCTCAGGTCATGATCCTGGAGTCCCGGGATGGAGTCCCACATCGGGCTCCCTGCTCAGCAGGGAGTCTGCTTCTCCCTCTGACCCTCTTCCCTCTCGTGCTATCTCTCATTCTCTCTCTCTCAAATAAATAAATAAAATCTTTAAAAAATAATAATAATAATGTCATTTAAGCTTTTATATTTTCCCCCTCTTTATGTGTCATGGATGTCAAGAGGTCATTTCCCACTCCTAATATGATTAGATTTTTTCTATCTCTTTTTTAATATTTGATGCTTTAGTAATTGATTCACAGATATTCGTAATTATCTCTTTATCATAATGAAGTGGTCATAATTTTGTCCTCAGTTAAAATTTTTCTGATACTAACATCATGATCCTGGCTTTTGTTG